AAATTCAATTTATCATTAGTATCACACATGAAAAATGTATATACTTATATAACACTGTTTTCTCAATACACTTTCTCTATGATAATTAATTCGGTCTAGTACTAAATAACAACTCATCAAATCTTTGATCGATGCATTTCATTTTGAAAATAGTGAGACTTGTACATAAATTTCAATTAAGAATAAAGAGTTTATATTAAAAAGAGTTAACTGAAAAGTATATCATTAGCATTCCTTTAACATTAAATATCTAATAATTTCATTAAATGTTTTATTAACTGTTGTGAATGGTAGTCTCATAGCTAACTTGTTTTAGTCTAACTAATTTGTGTTAGATGACAAAAGATAGGATTTTTTAAAAAAAAAAATTGATTAAAAAGTTTACTTAACATAATTTGCTTTCCAAAATTAATTATTTGAAATTATTTTTTCTTAAGAAAGTGAAATTACCAATATTGGAGTTGATAAATTTTTTTATACTTATATATTTATTAACATTGCCTCTCTCCAATCTATTTTTTGTTAATTACTTTTTATACATTTGTTAACTAAAGAAACTCACTTAAATTACTAATTGAACTCAATTTAATGTTTTTACTTACTAGAAAAGTAAATAAATAGGTTGGTAACTATTATTATTAATTTGACTGGTCACATTAATAACATTGAACATGAAAATAAAAAGAACATAATAAGTGATGGTAAGTCTAATAACTTAGTTCAAATGAAATTTCATATGATTTGATATTATTGTGTAAAATATAGTAAATCTAACTTAATCTCATTTGAATGGTACGTAGAATAATAAGTCTGACAAATCTTATTAAAATAAGTTATTTATATTTTTTTTTATCAGTTAAAAATGTAGCTACGAGAGTGTACTTGAGATGCTCCAACTCATTTAACAAAAGAGTTACAAATACAACTCTCAACATCTACTCTTGTTGCAAGAAAGGATTTCATCCCAATCATACCAAAGATGTTTTTATATGTGTATTCTTCTTAAACTAACTTAACTAAAATGTCTTTATACTCTTTATAATACAATGGGCCAAAACCTGCATATGATCACCAAAAACATTAAAAATACAACTCTTTAATACACCATCAACATTTATTTTAATTCCAAAAATGATATTTCACTTATTCATGGATTTTTCATCAATAAATTCATCATTATTACATATTTCATTTATTTACAAATTTTTTCGTTAATAAAATCTGTCGGTAAAAAAAGCGACAAATTTTTCGTCCACTCTTTCTCTCTCTATGAGCCATACATTATTACTCTCTTTCTCCTTCCTGGCCTAATTTTCTCTTCTCATTCCACAACCTCAAACCTTACTTTTCCTCTATTTTCAAAACTCTTTTCATCTTTTTTTCTCTAGCTTGAGGGCAACCCCTATCTTGCCTCACTTCCCCATCTCAGCTCATACCATCGTAGCTACAAGCCCTTCTGACGCATCTCCATCTCTATTAAGCCAAGTTGTCATCTCCATCGTCATCGACGTTATCGCGCTTGGGGTCATTCGCTCCATCTTCTTCTATAACACGTGTAAAGAAGGGGCAGTATCTCTATTTTTATTCTTTCATGCAAGGGCTCATCCTAGCCAAGTTCATCGTCGTCGTGCCACGCACTTCCATCACTGCGCATCGTCGTGAAACAGTAATGGATTTGAAGTCAACTAAATCCACTTATTCTCTTCTTTTTGTTTTCTCTCTTTTTGATTTGTGTTTGTGGTGGAGTAATTTGCTATGTTGACTATAATTTTTGTGCTGGTGAAATTAAATGTATCTGTATGACATTGGCGGTATTCCATCACATTGTGGTAATGATAATTAGGTGATAATAAAATTATGGAGCAAAGGAAAGTGAGATGATGAATTTTTGTACATGTTATGAAATTGTGTGAATCAATATGACATTTGTTTGTAATGAGTTCATTTTCTAAAGTGGGAAAAATAAAAGAAAGAAGATAAATAAGAGAGGAAGAAGAAGATAAATCAGATTGTGATATTTATTGACATAATTTATTAACAAATTTTTCCTTTAGTAATTACAGATTTTTCTGTAATAACTGATAAATTTTTTCTTCGACAATTACAAATAGATTTTTCTATAATTATTGAAAAAAAATTTTGATTATTACCAACAATAATAAATTTACCTACTGAACTATTATGAACAAATTTTGACTCGTCTCAAACCATTGTTTTTCTCCATTTCAAATATCATCCTCATTATTATTCCATCTTCCCATTTATAAAATTGTTGCCCTTTTTTATTCTTTGAGTTGGTATATAACTTGGGATAAGCCTCCATGCTACATTACCTAAGCATCTATCCTCCTTAAATCTAATCCTACTATCTCTTCTCACCTCCTAATATTCATTATTTTGACACCAACTTAATTTTCATTCCTATTTGATTTCTCGATATCTCTCCACATCAAAATTCATATCTATTGTCAATAATTAATTAATTTCAAAAATATATTAAAAAATAAATTTTAATTTAACTCAATTTCATAAAGTTAACTTTATAAAATGATATTAACACTCTCTTATATCTTATACTTTAACCTACATTACATTAACTCACTGTTAACATAGCCTCTCGTTCTTGCTCGTAGAGGTAGTAATCTCATTCATGAGATTAGAATTATTAGTGGCTGAACAGTTTTTCTAGCTTTATGTTTTGTCGCATGTGATAATCAATTTTATAATAATTTTCGTGGCACTACCCATTGATTGCATGCACTCGATAATCTTAAAAATGGTATTGGGACAATTCTTATCAAGTCATTTCATTTGAAAGATTTCCTGATGATGTAATCCGACATTAGTCTTTGTGCAAATGCCTCGATTGGAGAAGGTTATGTAAACACAGAAAACAATAATGTGCCTGAATTTTTTTAATAGGATATTTGACCCTATTTTATGGTCATTTTCTGTCCTACTTGTAATATTATATTTTATGACCACTGTGTTTATAAAATAAACATCTTGTGAGCTGCTCTTACCAGTTCAACTAACTTTAATCATTCAGATTGGATCAACACGAACCAATATGAACCCCACATAAATTAAATATCATCCACCTCAATTTCATCGTATTAAATTAAAAATAAAAAAAAAAGGAAAAAAACGAAGCACCTCAATTTTCTCCCGAACACGCAATCTTTTGCATCACCTGGCGTCTATTAATTTATAATCCTAAAAGATAAACTAATTTAGTAATGAGAACTTTTTGTTTGTACTTTGTATGTATAACATTTTGTGTTTTTGTATGTATTATGGTGAATATGAAGAGGATAGCTTATCTTTCCATTTTTCTACAGACAGCCACCACTATCTACTTCCCATTCTCTCCTCTTTCCTTGCATATCTTTACATTCTACTCCTTCAATTTAATATATAATGTTTAATATTGTAGCCTTAGTTTCTCTTGGCGACCTAATTCCAAAAATTTGTCGATAAGAAACTTACTAAGGAGAAAATGACAAAATGTACAGCAGTTTTTTTAATATTTAGTATGATATGAGTGGCTTAAATTGAAACCTTATAAGTTTGGTAGAACTCATGATGATTTAAGAAATTTTGGAAAAATAATTAATAGAAGGGAGAAACATAAAGGCATCTGAGTTGTTATTCAAACTATTCAAACTAACTGTACAATTCCAATGATAGACGTATAGCGGTTCGGTTGTTGAGTTTCCATACGGAATTGTATCATGCATCCTGTCTCAGTTTGGTTTTGTCAAAGCCAGATGGATAACTTTTTGCTTGAACGTTTTGTTTACTTCTGTTCAAAAAGCATTTAACACTTTTTGCCTTTTCTAGCTCATCAAAAAGGAAATTCTCCATTTTACAGCTATTCCAATATAATTACCAAAGAACCGTAAACATTCCAGTGTCTTAATTAAGACATGAGAATTAATGGTCTCAAATGATTTTAATTTAAGTTTGTGCTGAATTTATTTGTTTGTTTAGGTTCAGAATTCCATAATTACTACACATACGATTGAATGAAACACTAACTTATAACAGTTAAATCTTGTTAAAGCTTCTCACATATTTAGAAGTGGTAAACTTTACTTAAAAATAGTTTTATCCAATTCTGCTTATTTCCCAGGATTCCTGAAATGCCAAAAAAGTCCCGCTGTGCACAAGTACATATCCATACTGATAAACTCCATTTATAACCATTTAAGTTTAACATAGCAAAAACAGTTGGTAAATGAAACAAATTCATGTTGTTTTTAATGCAGCTTAAGAGAAAGAGCCATGCATTGGAGTCTCTTTCTAATGGTGAACTTCTGGCTATTCCCGTGCATTACCACTGATTCGGATTCCACAAACACATATGTCATAGCCTCGTACACAGACAACTTGGGACTAAAGTAGTATTCGATACCCATTTATTCCCCTCGATTCTACCATGCATGTCGGAAGACATTTTCATTGTCAAAGTTGGTAGTAGGGTCAGAACAGTAGTTAGCAGAATACCTGATCAGGAAACTCGCTAACCAGATGAGAAAAATAAAAGAGGATCTAAAACAGCGTGCGAGCAAGTCAAAAACTTGAAAACGTAGCATAGATGTAGACGCTCGAAAAGAATTCCAATTAGCATAAAGACAGAGAAGCACGACCTTACTTGTGTTGGTATGCATTTTTCACATGGCTTAAAGGAACATCATTTCAAAGCTGCAGGGAAATTTTGGTTCCCAGGACAACCAAGCAATCAGCTCAATCACACCCATTTTTCTCATGATAGATCAAACAGCAAAAGCACAACAACTCCATGATAAAGATTATAAAGTTGTTCAAAATCCTGTAAATGGTAGGCAGTGCATTTTCCAACCAAAAAACAGAAAACAAGTCTTTGGCTTTTGAAAGAATAGCGTTATTTTATGATCTCTTGAAAGAGACCCAAACAAACCATTATTATTTGAATAACCAAAAACTGAAATGGCAGCCCAGGCTGGGAGTGAAACTCATAAGATGAAGAATGATAATATTGAAAACTTGCATGATGTTCCTTCACATTTATAATTATTAATATATACATTATCTAGACAGATAAAAATACCCTATTTTACCTGGCTCCTATCTCCACTCCACCCACAGATTTGGTGACAATTGTGCCTAGCTGGTTCTACAACTCCATGAAGCTTCCCAACATGATTACCTCAAAATTCATACTCATCTACTACCCAAAAAGAAAAGACATTATTATTATTTTACAGAAACAGCTACCGGGAAGGCTTAAAATATCCCAGAGCAGCACAACTTACACAGAGCTAGCTAGCTAGCTAACATGACATAAGCACAATTCATATAATCTCAACTCAACTCAACGCCGCAAAGTGCAGACCCGTTATCATCGTACATCCCCAACCTTAGCCGACAGGGCCAAACGAAGCTGCTCCTGCGTGTAAAACCTACTCCCCATCTTCACCGTCGCTTGTTGAATCATCAAATCGTTAACCACCGACACGCTGGCGTGGTGAACGTCCAAGTCCAACTCCATCAGCGCCGCCATCAACCTCGCCGCGGGGTGGTTCTTCTTGCTGCATTGGATTCTTATCATCGCGTCCCACCCAATAATCTTCACGTCGATGTCCAAGTCAATCAACGCCTGATTAGCCGACTTAATGTTACTATTACCCGCGTGTTTCATGTGATTAGAGTTATCACTTGATTTCTCGAGTTCCTTCTGCACTCCTTCAAGTTGTTTCTGCAACCCATCTTTATCTGATTCCAGAGTTTGAAGCTTGGACTTCAGCTCCGTAATGTAAGATATTGCGTCACCCAGAAGCGACGCTTTGTCCATCTTGGACACGTTGGGAACCACAGCACGAAGCGCGTAGAACCTCTGATTCAGCTTCTCCCTCCTCTGCCTCTCCGCTTCCACGTGGTTTAACGGTTCCTCTCTTCCGTTCGCCGGCTTCCGCCCTCTCTTCCGGGGCCGCTTCTCCGGCTCCACCACAGGGTCCTTTACCACCGACGCTTCCAGATCCGAGTGGTCGGAATCGCCGCCACCGGCAGACTTCAAATTAGTGGCCGGAAGAATCGCGCGGGAGGTGAACGAAAGCATTCCGTCGTCGTTGCTGCCTCGCGAATTCGGTGACCTTCTCTTCCCGTTGTTGTTATTGTTGTTCTCATCCGCAACAGCAACAAACGGTGATTGACCAGAGAAGAAATTTGAATTGGAATTGGAATTACCATTGACGGCCCCGGCCCCGCCCCCGCCCCCGTAAGAGGTTCTCTTGCTATCGCTGAAGCTGAGAATCTCGCAGGATTCGGGCTTCAGGGAATGCTGATTGTTAGTGTTGCCACTCTTGGGATCAAAACCGTACTCAGAGAAGTTCAATTCTCTGGAGAACACGCTCTGGTTCTGTGGAACAGCGTGGATAGAGCTTGGGGTTTCAGTTAAGGTACTGGAACCGGGGGTTTGAATAGAACTCTCCAACTGCATCGTCTTTGAAATCCCGTGAGTACTGTTATGAGGGGGAACAGAAACGGATACAGAAGGAGTAGCTGCGACAGTGTTAATGGAATCCCTAACTTCAGGATCGTTGAGCCAGAGCGTGGAGGGGTCGTTTTCTCCTTGATCGGCGCTGGTTGCAGGCCAAGAAGAACCCATGTCGAAGTTGTTGTTGCTAAAATTGAAGAGGACCTTCACCTTGTTCATCAGATCCGGGTTCTGGTAAATTAATTCGGTAGACCCCAGTTCAACGACTCCGTTTGCGGAGGGTATGCAGACTAGGGTTTGGAGGCCGAAGACTTGTCCCTGGCGGGCTCTCTCGCAGGGGGAGGAGGAGAGGCGGTCGCCACCGGTGACCCAGACGGGGTTGGAATTGAAGAAGGCCTGGCCGGGCAAGCCGGCGCCGTTGACGAAGGACTGGGTCATGGAAACAAGGAAGAACCACTCGGTGTCTGTGACCTCCTCGTCTACGTCATCGGAGGCGGTAGCTGAAGAGCCAGAGATGAGGGAGTTGAGCTCCCGGAGGACCTTCTTGCGGTGGTCCTGCTCGGCGGCGGAGGTGGCTTTAGCTTTGGCCTTGGCCTTGGCCTTGTCATCGTCGCCTTTGTAGTAACCGTCGCCCCAGCCAAGGAGCGTGGAGCCGGAATAGTCGTAGGAGGACTGCCAAAAGATAGCGTAGGTCCAGCTCTCTCTGGCGCCCTCGATGAGGGCCTGTAGGCGGTGCTGGAGGGTGTCCTGGTTGAAGACGGCGGCGGATTGCGGCGGCGCCGGCGGAGGCCATATGGAGGAGAGATCGGAGGAGGACATGAAAGCCTCCATAACAGAAGAGTTATCGTCCGTCCAGAGATTCATCCACTCGCTGACGCTGAGTTGTTGATGATGTTGGTGATTGAGCTGTGGTGATTGAGCTGTGGTGATTGGAGTTTGGAGTTTGGCGTTTGGGCAATTGAAATTGGGTTGGATTGGGAGAGAAAAAAAGAAAGAGAAAAGGGGATAAACACAGAAAGCTAGCTACCCAACAAGAGAGAATGCATTTGGGTTTGGAATTTATTTGGAGTGCATTTAGGGTGAATTTTAGTAGTATTTTGTTTCAAGAGGACTGACCGAGAGTGAGCAAGCGCGAGCCTTCCGCGAAACCCAAACGCCCACGCCGAGTTTTTCGTAAACACGCCGCGTCTTGTATCTTTCCATCTCTTTTTTACTGCTTTACTATACTATATTTTTTATTATTAATATAATTCTTTCATTCTTTCTTAAAACAACTTATTTCGAATTACTTTTAATTAGAAGACAGTTTTTTAAAAAATTAAAATATTAAATATAAGTATAATTTTAAAAATTAATACATATTTATTGTTATTTATTCTTTTATCAATTGAATTAACATTATTTAACCCTGATGAATTAAGCAACAGAGTCTTATATTTATTAATAACGGAAGAAGTATTAAACTGAAATGTTATCTTAATTAATATTACAAAAACACCTGGTTGAAATGTTTAATATATTTCATTAAGTAATCTTAGTTGTTAAAATAGTAAATATTAATTATATTTACCACAATAAACATTTTATATAAAATATTTCTCCTGCTTTTGTATAAAACATCTTATGTGTACGGAAATTAATTTTAAAATTATAAGATCATAGTTGTATAACAAAAAGAATAGTGCTGGGTGGTGTAAAGTGGACCTGCTTGAGGTTCATTTTCACAATTATTTTTGTTTTGTCTTATTTTCTTATAATTTTGTGGACGACAAAAAAGTCTGCATTCCACCTGTAAATTGTCTTTCTCTTGTGCTTCGTGGGATTGACAACCCACACATCAATTCAAAAGTGATGAGGCTTTAAAACCATACAATAATAAGATAATGAAAAATATACCCATTACATATATATCATTTATATCTTAGTTTTTATTTATTTTTAAAATATATATATTTCTATATTACTTTTAATTATATTTTATAATTCAAAAAAGTAAACGAAATATATTTTACTTTCAATCATATCATATATTATAAATCACCCACTATTTTTTATATAATTATACTATTAACTTTATTATCTTAAAGTTGAAGTATTTCTTCATTCAAATAAAAATAATAATATAATATATTATTTATACTTATATGTAAAAGATATTGTTTTATGTCCATATTTTTTTTTAATTTTACCTTCCAAATGAATTCTTTTAAAATTTAAAATTATTTAAAATAAATAAATAAAATTAATTTACAAAATAAATAAAAATATTTATATCAGAATTTTAATATGTTAACTTTAATTGAAAATTAAAATTAGTTACTCTTCGAATCTTCGGACTAATTTAGTTTCTCATCTTTATAACCATGTAAACTTAATATATTTAAACAAATTTTGTTAAATTTATTTGAGGTTTTAAACACGTTTATCAACTAACATTAAAAGAAATTTTTATTCTAAAATTGAGGGACTAAATAAGACTAAAATTCTTAGGAAGAACTAATTTTAATTTTTACTAAAACTTAAAAAATGTAAAAACACATTTAACCCTATTATTTATATTTATCTATATAATTATATTTTCATTATTTTTTTATCATAAAAATATTATTTTCACTAGTCATATATAATGTGCTTCCATACACAATCTATGTTCTTACTTTTGTTATTAATTATATTGATTCTCAAATTATCAATATATTATATATTAGATATAAAAGCACAATAAAAAAAATAGTGAAAAAAAAACGCTCCTCTCATTAAAATTATGTAGGTAAGAATGAAAGAAAACGATATACAATAAAGAAAAGTTATTATCCTATTAAAAATAATTGTAGATGACTCTCATGATACTAATTATCTTTTACTGTTTTTTTACATGTTATTTAAAGCAATAAAACATACATAAATCTTGGAATGATTCATTTATATTTTACTTCTTACTTATCTATTAAATTTGTTTAACATTTGATAGAATTTGTTTATCTTTTATAGCACAAGTGCATACGTACACGTACATACATATATGTGTATATTTTTATATATTAATGTATTAGTTTATTTAACTTAGTTGAGAGTTTGAATGATATATGTCTATTTAATTTATATTGATATTTTTAGCTTATTGTTAGACTTTGTTTGATTTAAAAACTAAAGAACAATCTCGTTTCAAATGATACATTGAATAATGGAAAAGGTTTCACGTGTAATGTTAAAAGTCGGGTGATTTTTGTAACGAAAAAGATAAATGTTGTAGTAATACAATAAAACAAGGTGGGTAACTTGTATATATTGGAAGGTTTCAATAGGATAGACTCTGCCATTTGTTTCTTCGTATGCATTTTATAAGGCTTTGTAGCATTTGCATCTAAGTCACATGAGTGGGAGTCGGATGAAAGTTTTGTGTGAGCATGGGTGATTAAGTAGCTATCATAGTAAGGCTTTTCAATTATGTGAGTAATGCATATTTGGAAAGCAATATAGACAATCATTCTTAAGCTATTCTAATTATTAATGTCCTTTTAAGAGGTACTTTGTTAAAGAATGTAAATACTTTCTTTCTGTTGTTTAAAACTAACTTGAATTTTTAAGATGAAGAAATATTTAATGTTTTTCTCATTTTCATTAGTATATACTTTTATGCTTAATTAGACTTAACAAAAGGTATAGAGTACGATAATGGATAATGAGTTAGAATTATGTTTTAAGATATTTGGCAACTTCTACAAAGATTAAGGTATTGTTGGACATTATATTGTTTATTATGCTTCACAAAATAATAGGGTGACAAAAGGGATGAATAAGAAGATCTCATTGGAGAGAATAATGTGTATGTTGCCTCGTTCTAGATTGGATTAAAGACATTAGATTAGAATTTCCAACACAACATGCTTATTTGGAATCGATCTTTAGATATAACTAATGAATTCAAGACTCATATCTTAAGGTGTGATTTAGTAAACTAATAAACAGTTCGATGTTAAAAGTGTTTTGTTGTTCAATATAATAATATCATACAAATAGTGACAAACAAGAACTTATAGTCAAAATTAAAAATATTGTGACTATGAAATGTAAGGGTGTCAAAGTGAGTATGTATGACTCGCACGGGTTTGCTCATTATGGGTTCAGCGAAAAAAAAAGTAAACTCAACTTGACTCTCTTTTTGGTGAACCAAAAATTTTGTAACCTGATTCAATCTATCATAAATTGGTGGGTAAGTAGATTTTAATCCCCTCTTAGAGATAGCAAATACACTAAAAGAAACATAGCCTTAAGGATGTTTTGTTTTTCTAAAGTATTTTATATATGTATTATAGTATAATAAAAGTGTATTGACTTGAGTCATTATTTGATAACAATACAATTAAAGTGTAACATATTTTACTAAATATTTTTACAAAGATAGTAGTTGAAAAATAAAGTGTCAAACTACATAATTTAGCAAACAAATAAATTAAACGTTCGAAGTATTAAAACATTATTGAACAACATTCTAGTATTAAAAAAATTGTAAACCTAAACCTGAAACCCTAAATTATAATTAGAAGTAATAAGTGATTATAATAAAAAAATGTGAAAAATGGTAAAAAAAAACTAATAAAGTATTGTTATTGGTAGGTTGTAGGTCAACCCACCTTCAATCTCGCTCAGACCTATTTAACTTGTTTGTTAAGTAAGTTAAGTTCAATTTGACTCATATTTAAAAAGGACTACATTTTTTCAACCAACTCAATTTAAATTCAAGGTGAAATGGGTTACTCACGAGTTATAATATATTTTAACATATCTAATAGGGTGAGAGTAAAATAATTCAAACTTTGAATAAAAAATAATTTATGAGTATAAATATGACTTATGTAAGTTATTATATCCCCATTTCCTATAATGTTGAATTCTTATATCCTCGTTTTAGCATTATTTATTATTTCAAATTAAAAACTCAATGTTTGGTATAAAATTGGTTGTGTTGGGTCTATCAAGGAAAATGTTCAATGGAAAGATACAAACAATAATGAGATATGAGTTTAACCACATATATAAGGGATTGACATCACTTTCTACTTAAAACTTTAAGGTAATGGGTTAATGAATATTTCACCTTTATATAGTATTTTAATTTAAAAATTATATCCAATATGAGACTTAGATTCACACTTGCATTTTCAACAATTTGTGTTTTTATTCGATCCGTATATAATAGAACATTTGTTTAGTTCTCACGTGAGAGCACCTCTATCTTAGCTCCTCTTAATCATTGAATCAAATGGAAATGAACTAATTTCATGATGAGTTTTTGTTTTTGTTTTAAAAAAAATTTCTTATGTTTTTAGTTACTGAAAGATTATATCATCTCTTTTATGGGACATAAAAATGGCCATAGTAAGATATTTTTAATGAATAAGTTCAGAAAAATAAATACTTGAAATGAAATCTTCTTTTACAAATTTTGAAAGATAAATAGAATGTGGCGTACTAAAATCTTTCATAATTTTCATGAAATTAAAAAGAGACGAAAGAGATTGAATAAGTAAAGAAAATCATATTAGAAAAAAAATGAGAAATGAAAAAAATATATATAGAACAAGAAAGAAAACCGTTTGAAAAGAGAAAAATAAACAAAAGAGTGAAAAGAAAAACATTATAAGAAATTGAAATAAAAAGGAGAAAAATAAATAAACTAGTTGTTTGTTCAGAGGCTGAGTGTTTTTGTGTATATGAACTGATAATGTTCTACTTATACCAACATTTGAAAGTTACCTGTAGGTTTGGGTTAGGCTAGGTTTTACATATTTTGTTTGTAGGGTTTGGCATGAATTTAGTTTCCTGTTTAATGATGGAGACATGGGGTCTGCTTTTAGAATTCTATCTTCATGGTATGCTCTACTTTGGTATCATCTCTTTGGAATATAATTACAGCATCCAATTTAACAATTATTTTACTTTAATTCAATTTTATGTGTTGGGTATGAAATTATTATATAATGAATTGTTTTAATAAACCTTTTCTAAAATTAAAAAAACACTTATGAAATATTTATAAATAATATATGAATGAATATTCTCCAAAAACACAATTATTTTATCTAGTTCCAACAGTGGAAGGTTGGCCATGAGAGAAATAAAAGG